AGAGGCATTTGGTGGATGCGTTTACTTGCGTTTTACCACTACTGCAGGTGTTGTTGGTGTAAATCTGTTAACCTCAAAATCCCGAGTAGCTCCAATTCAACATTCAACAATCCCTCGGATAGAGCTGTGTGGAGCCTTACTTGTAGCAGAGCTGATATCTGAGGTTAAAACTGAGTTGAAGTTATTAAATATTATTATAGCACCCTCTGACGTCTACCTATGGACTGATTCCACTATTGTTATTTCTTGGATTCGAAGCAAGAGTCTGTTTCAAGTTTATGTCTCAAACAGATTGGCTCGTATCCTCGACTTAACCACGTCCAACCAATGGTTTCATGTACCCACTAATCATAACCCCGCTGATCTCATAACAAGAGGTCTAGATGCTGGCTCAATTTCCTCATCGCAGCTATGGTGGTCTGGACCTACCTGGTTAAGTGATGAACATACCATGTGGCCCAGCGTTCCAACTTTGCCATCAGAACTTCCTGAGCTTAGACCTGTAAAATTAATATTAACTACCGTGCAAACATCTCTAGCTTGGATATCAAACACCTATTCAAATTGGATGAAACTGTTGAGAATAACAGTTCTAGTACAGCGATTCACTGTCAATTGTTCTCCTGTGTCCAGGGGACGAAAACAAAAGTTAGTTGGCTTCATTCGTAGCGAAGAACTTCAATGGGCAAAGCATTTTTGGTTGTTGAAAACTCAAGCTGAAGCCTTCTCTGATGAAATTGCTGCTCTTAAAGCCAGTAAATTGGTCCCACGTCATAGCTGCCTCAAGCAGCTGAACCCTTTCATTGATAAACTTGGTCTGATTCGTGTGGGTGGTCGTCTCGCCAATGCCCCCATTGCAGATTCAAAAAAATTTCCAATTGTACTTCCTTGCAAAGGTAAAATCACACAGTTATTATTTGAATACGAGCATTGCAAGTTATTGCACATAGGACCACAGTCATTGTTGGCGCATATGAACAATGAATTTTGGCCAATCCGAGGGAGAAGTATAGCAAAACAAACAGTATCCCGGTGTATACAATGTTTCCGTTCCAGGCCCAAATTCATCCCACCGTTTATGGCACCCCTTCCACGAGAACGTGTGACTATCAAACGACCGTTTTCAAATGTGGGAGTAGACTATTGTGGACCATTCACCATTCGAAGTGGTTTGCGAAGAGTGTCATCAACGAAGGGTTATATTTGTGTGTTTGTGTGTTTAGTCACCAGGGCTGTTCATTTGGAATTGGTATCTTCCCTCACAACTGCTGATTTCTTAGCAACATTATCCAGATTCATGTCAAGGCGTGGCCAAGTTCTTAATATATATAGTGATAATGGCACTAATTTTGTGGGTGCTGATAGTGAGTTACAAAGGAAGATTCGAGAATTCAACAAAGAAACCAAAATTCATGAATTTTTGGCAGTCAAAGGCATTACTTGGCATTTCATTCCCCCATCGTCGCCACATTTTGGTGGTTTATGGGAGTCGGCTGTCAAGTCTGCAAAGAAGCACCTCTACTGCATTTCAAAGGGTGTAATGATGACATATGATGAAACAACAACCTTAATTTGTCAAATCGAAGCGGTTTTGAACTCTCGTCCATTAACACCATTGTCTGCATCTCCGTCTGATTTCACAGCACTAACACCGGGTCATTTCCTTGTTGGTGGTCCTCTGATGTTACCACCAGAACCAGATGTTTCAAATGTTCCATTGAATCGACTACGCAGATTTCAGCTAATGCAATCACAGATGCAAGGCTTCTGGAAAAGATGGTCATCTGAATATCTTCCTCAAGTTCAAAAAAGAGGCAAATGGACCAAGCCAACAAGAAATGTGCAAATCGATGACCTTGCTATTTTGAAAGATGATTCATTGCCACCCATTCACTGGCATTTAGTACGTATAAAAAAAACTCACCCAGGACTGGATGGAATAGTACGAGCCGCAACTGTCCGTAATTCTGCTGGCCTAGAGTTCAAGCGTCCGGTGGTCAAGTTAGCTATTTTGCCTACAGCTCAAGACGAAGAAGACATCAACATCATCGCTTCCACTTTGTAAAGCCCCTGGGCTATTTATTTCTTTGTTAATTTATTATATTAAATATTCATTAATTTCATGTTATATTCATAAATCATAGAAGTTATACTATTTAATCATTTGTATACATGTTTATTTGTATTAAGATTTATAATTCTTTTGTAGTCTTCACTAGACATTTTATATTATATTTAGTTTAATTCAAACGTTAGAAAGGATATCCTTTCAAAGGGGGGTGTATGTTTGCACTAAGGCAGTATTCAGTATATAAATGTATTATTATTTATTATTATTGTAGTGGCTGCGCACGTTGTCTCCCTGTCGGCTGTGATATTAGTGATATGCTCTTATCAGGTTGATAGTGAGCGGAGTGCGTAACTCCAACGGTTTTGTTTTTGTATTTCTTGTCATATTGTAATTTGTATTTATTATGGTTTCTCTAGTAACGTCTTCGTTTTCTAATGTTTAAGATCTTTGTCAAGTTTACTGAGAGACAGTGCAATCAATTATTGTTCTAGTTTAATCTATTTATTGTATTTCGATGACACTGTCCGTCTGCGAGCTTATAAAAGCCCGGACGCACCAGCTCCGAGGGCCTTTTTTTCTCTTTTTGTCTTTAGGCCTCTTTTCGTATCGTTTTTGTTGTATAAAATCATTAAAATCCACGTGTGCTGTTCAGCTACTATATTATTATTCGGTCGCCTTCCTTTGGTAATGTATTCGTTCCTACGATCATAATATTTTCAGATATAATATTTTATTTTTCCCAGCAGGGTGGTCATTATTTGTATTGGTTTTGTGGTTCATTGTTCCTGTGGCTTGCTCGTCAGCGGATACTTTAAAACGGTCGCACGTGTGCGGTTGACATTATTATTATATTTTGTGTATTTTTTATTATTGTATTACGTTCCCGGCACGGTCGCGTGGGATGAAATCCGCCGATTAAAGTAACCGCCTGCATTGTATTTTGTGAGTACCTTGTTTTCTGTATAGTATTATTGTATTATTAGAATATTATAGTTTGTGCCAAGTGGCCATTTTTTTTTTATATTATACTCATTTTTTGTATTGGCCGACTGAGGCATATATTATATATAGTTTTTTATATTATACTCATTTTTGTATTGGCCGACTGAGGCATATATTATATATAGTTTTTTATATTATACTCATTTTTGTATTGGCCGACTAAGGCATATATTATACATACATTCTTACATACATTCTTATTATATTAATTCAATTAGTGCTAATCAAGCACATATAGGTACATTCATTCATATTATATTCAATTAGTGCTAATCAAGCACATATAGGTACATTCATTCATATTATATTCATTTAAGTAGAGCTAATCAAGCACATATACATTTTTATATTGCATTCTTGTTTATATTATACATTATACATTATAGTCATTTGTTGAGCCAGCAGGGCTACTCATATTGTTACACATTATTATCATAATTATTTTATATTATTATATTATTATTAACATTATTATAAATTGTTATTCCATATTATTATTCTCTGGCGTAGAGGCGTACCTGATTTTATTTAAATAAAGGACGTCAAATGCGCAACCANTTAAATAATATTTGTGCCTGGATGTATTTTTAATATTTTTCATCTGATATTGTAAATATAATATATTAGTAACCTTGATTTAATTTTTCAAGCTTTTTGACCCAACAAAAAAAATTTTAAATAGCTCAAAACAAGTTAAAATATTTTGAAAATTGTATGGTATAAAGAAAACGCAGATATAAACATTAATTCAAAATTGCATGTATCTACGTTAAGTTTTTTTAGAGTAACATGAAAAAAAATCGATATTGTCGGAAACCGAGTTTCTCGTAAAAATCTCCTTTTTCCTGGGTTTTTATTTGTATTTCCTGCCACTTACGAAAACTATTTGGAATTCTTTACTTTTGACCAAAAAAGTACCAACTAGATTAACTTTAAGACCACAAAAATTTTTGTTGAAGAAAATCGAAGCATTTTTACTGTTCCAAAACGTAATGTTAGACACAAAAAATAAATAAAAAAACACACATCATTGTAAAATAAATATACATTCATCACTCCGTTCACAATCTAAAATATTAAAAATGGTAATTTATACAAAAAAATAATTAGTTATTTAGTATCAAACCGTTAAACAATTTTTGTGATAACGTTACTTAAAATTAAAACGTTATAATTTTTTTATGTTTATTGTCGTTGGCAGTATAAACGTTATTTTTTTTTAGGTTCATCGTGATTAGAAATTTAAACGTTATTTTTTTACGGTTATATTGTTATTGGAAATTTTAACTTTATTCAAATATTCTGTTTGTAGTTATTGAAAATTAAAACGTTTTCATTTTTACATTCAAATTTTTACCACCATTTAAAATTAAAATATGATGTAGGTAGTACCATTGATTATAAATACTAGGTAGGTTCAATATTACGATCAATTTTCAATATTACGTCTATTATATTTTCGATGTTTAATATTTATTTTATTTAAACATAAAACCAGATGTATGTATCTAATTCTACACTTTACAGCTGTTTGATCCACTAAATTCAAATTTTTAAGTACTGCGTGTAATTTTGTTATCTACGTAGATTTTCAGAAACAATATATGTGCGATGTAGTCATGTAGAGCACTCTAAAAAAGGAAGACAAAAATTATTCAATTTTCTATTTAGACAAAGAAATGCCCATATTTTAATATTTTAAATTGTAACATAAGAAATCACATTGTCATAAGGCTTAAAAATTATTTTGATATCTAACTAGAAAAATGACATAAAACTTAAACTGTGTAACTTTGATAAAACTGATACATATAATTGATACAGTTTTGGTAAAATACTGTGTATCTAAGTAATTATAGTCTAAGAACCGTTTTTTAAAAAAAAGAAAGCTTAAAATCTTGTAAACTGCATGTTAATCAATAACTATGTATAAAAAAATTTAGCTATCATAATAAATATAATCAATAAATAAAAATAATGTTGCTCCACGTGGAATAGCATGGGTATATCTTACTCATAATCTTAGTAGTTTATGGTTAAAACTTCTATAGCTATGGATTATGATTCTAACTATTATTCCGATTGGTGCCTGAAATGTGAAGTAACATTTCTGTTATTTTTAACATTTATTTTCCATTATATTTTTTAATTGGCGACTTTCGATTTCACTGATTTCCGAGTAAAAATAAACATGTTACATTATACCTGCATATCCGCACAATATAACCGGGCACAAATTTAAAAATAAATACCATAGAATGCCTCAAGCTATTCGTGGAATTCAATCTTATTGAAATCGCCTATAACGCTAATATTCATTATAATAATATAATATTATTAAATATTAAATAATTAATATTATAAACGTAATAAGTAAAAATTATGAAAATAAACTATTAAGTTTAATGATCGTTTATCAATTTACGATTTTTTTTGTCTTCTGTCATGTTTCGTTTTATGATTTTTTAAGTTATTGGTTTATCGTTTTGTTTTTTGTTTTACTAAAATTCTAAAATTGCCGTTTATTGCTATGTTTTGTAATGATAATTTAATATTACCGTTTACAGTTGACCGTTTTGTTTCAGTTATCTATTTCAATTTTTTTTTTTCTAGTATAACGTTATAATCATAACGTTATGTAAACGTTTTTGAGCCCTGATTTAAAGGGTGTTCTGTAAAATGCTCATCGTATACGTAAATGTTTTCCTATACATAAGTATTCCGTCTTGATTTTTCACATTAATTAAAAACCAACTTAAATTAATGGTTAAAACGGTTTACATTTTTTGGAGAAAAAATTAGTATAGATTCATAATAATTAACGACATTATTCATCACATCGTTAAATTCATATTAAACATGTTTTAATTTTTAATTCTCATGATTTACTAAACAAGTCTTACTCAAAATTATCGATCTCGTTGTCTTTTTTATAATTTAGACAAACGGTCGAGCACGAATGGATTTTAATTTTCAATTTTATCCATCACAGTAGCCATATGGAAAATAAACAATATTTATTAAACTTGAGATGCGCATGCGGTTGACGGATATAATCAAACTTTACGTGTCCGATAAATCCTATATTTCAGTACACAGTGTGAACGACCACATTGTGAACAAATTACGGGATGTTAACTGTAGCGAACATTTCAAAAGTGGCCTTTTTGTGAAATATTTTCAAATTTCAAGGAAGTGTATAAAATCGGTTACAGATTCATAGAATGGTCATCTATTCATAAAAAACATTGCGAACATATTTAACACCCAAAGTGATTACGAAAAACAATATTTTGGCTTCCTTTCAAATATTTTGACCCATTGTATAAATTTTAAGTTACACACAACCATACGGAATACACGATGCACCATTTCCAAGAATGCATGGTCAATATTTTTTCCGTAAGTTATTCTATTGACGAGCTTAATCAAAATCGTATGAATTAGTCAGCTATTTCACATTTTCTCAAAACGTCGATAATATCATTTTCTGATATCCATTTGCATGGTGTAGGCACACGAAAATTTGGCATTCGTTATCTCACTCCATGTGTCTATATTATTAATGACCTAGATTCTGGTTAAATTCAACATCTGAGTAAATACAACAATAAGTGTGCAAATGATACGCCTCACAGATGTGATATAGGCTTTTTTAAACACATAAAAATCGTTATTATACGTGGCCTAAGACGATATGGCTGTATGTGCACAATGTAAACTGCGGCAACACGAAATTTTTCCTACAATTCAATGTAAAGTAAACTGCTGCAATTAATGTTATAAATGTAGGAACCTAGTATAAACTTACTGTTTGTACATATCGATACGAATATGTGATGCATGTATGAGGTTGTCGCTCAACTGATATTGAAGATATGTATCAGGAACCTTGTATTAAATTTTCGAGCTTATGGACCCAAAAAATTAAATTTTACTACCATTAATTATTTTTAAAAAATTGGTTATGTCGTTAAACAACTGAAAACGAG